GAGAGAGAAAAGGAAAGAGAAGGAAAAAGAAAAAAAAAATTTTAAGTTTAATTTTTCATAATATTTTTTTATATTATTATTTTTTCCATGCCATCACTATTTTTGGTCTTATTGTCTTCCACGTGTATTAATATTTGACATGTCATCTTTTTTCCTGTCAAGTAACAAGACACGTAGGCAGATATTTAACGGAAAGACCAAATCGGGGTTAAAATGATAAACAGTAGAGACCAAATCAGGGATTTTTTTAGTTTAGGGACCAAATCGGGGGTCCGTACAATAGTTCAAGGACTAAAATGGGGTTTTAACCTTAATTATTTTGCCACTGGCACTACAATCAAAAAAATTAAGATGATACCAAACCTTAATCTATATTTATCTCATACCAAAAAAAATTGCAACTTTGCTTGGCTATATTTAAATGATCATAACTCAAGCTGGAATCCCACATGCTTGCTTCATTTCTTATTGGCTATTTTAGGAAGCAACAGCACTATCAACACATACCATTCCCACCTAAACAAAATAGCTACATAGAGTTTAAGTTGCATACTCTAATTTCAAAATAGTTTCAACTTTGAACTGCCCCTTTGCTGTCATTTTCTCAAGCAGACACACAATGCACAGGAAACACAATGAATAAATTCAATTTACTTAAAATCATCTCAACACCTAAAACAAGACACTAGACTAATAAAGCAAAGAATCACCTCCAGAAATCCCCCCTTCAATTTGGGGATAAGGTGATAAAATTGTAAAAGAATTGCAGCTAGCTCATGGTGATAAAATTGTAATAGAATCAATTAGTAGCAAGAACCATTTATTTAGAACATATCAGCATGATTTTAAATGAAATGCTGCAAGAAAAAAATCAAGCAATTACTAGCTTTATCACCCAAGAGTCATTGAAATTGATTTCTATGACATATTATCAAAAATAGAGGATTGTGACAAAGAAACCAAGTTAATATTGTATAAGTTTGAAATGTTGTAGAATATGCTAGCAGCAAATTTCTAAAATTGAATGTTAATTTGTTTAATTGAAAATTTTACCTTTAGTGTACATGTCCCACTAGAGGAAGGGTAAACCACCGTTTTGCCACTCATTGACCAGAGAAACCAAGCACCTTGTTCATACATGCTAAGAGACAGAAAAAAGTAAAAATATCAGTGAAGCTAATGAAATAGAATATTTTCAATAAAGTTGGAGAATTAAGATGTCACTGGCCTAATCAGTTCTTCATCCCAAATTTTATTTCTCAAATATCAAATTGAAAGTTCCTATAGTCCTTTTCTTAGAAAATAGAAGAACTTAAAAAGAAAAAATGTTAATTGGTAGCTGACATATTGCACTAACCTTTATTTGAAATTAAATAAATAAACAAAAAACCTTCAAAATAGAAAACTAACCATAGTCAATGGCAATAGCTTCCTTTGAATTATCTTTATTTGTACCAGCCACTCATGCTAGTAAGGATTCCATTGTTTTGTTTATTCAAAGACCAATACACGATTCACCAAAAAAATCATCAAATAATCAAATACAAGAAATAGGTTCAAGTCCATTGTTATGACCATCAAAACCAAGCAATAGACATTTAAAACAGAAAAGAAGGAAAAAAAGAAAAAAGAAAAAAGAAAGAAGAAAAAGTCAACAAGAAAACAAGAAGGAAAATTGCTGGTATGATCTATCCGGTTTCCCTTCTCTAAGTGAATTTTAATTGAGCTATGACATAGACAATTGCACTTGGTACCTATGAGTGCAATTTTCTCGGGACCGTTAAAGATTCCATTCTCTGTCTGAGTTTCTTCAACTGGAGAAGTGAAAGGAATAACAATTAGAACACACCACTTTGTAACTAGCAATGCACTTTATCAAAGAAGATTATTGGAACCAATAAATTGCCAACAATGGGTAAGGTAAAGTAACCATTTTTTCAAAAACAAAATTATCATCAAAGATTATTTCATAAATATTAAGAAAATTCTCAAATTGGAAATTGAAAATTAAAATTCCTAATTTTGAAATCCTAAAACTCAAATTTTAGGGTTCGTGCAGTCTAAAATCTACCAGTTCAAATCCCTAAAACAATCGAAAGGCAAATAGAAAAGAGAAGAACAACTCAAAATCTAACCCAAATCAATATCTAGAACCAAAGTGAAGAAAGTATCAAAGAAGGCTTACTTACCAGCAAAAAGAATATGCATGAGCGCATCCAGTACTACAATCAAAGAGAAGAGAAGAGAGAATGCTAAAGGAGAAGAAATTGAAAACTGAGGGGAGATAACATAAATAAACAAAGAAGAAATTCAAATTGATTAGAATTGAGAGAATAGAACGAAAAGGAAGAAATCGGTTTGATTTTTTGCGAATGGGAAGGAGATCTAAGGATTTGAGAGGCAATTTTGAGAGGAGATCCAAGGTCATTTGCTCGGTAGGATATCTGAGGTGACTTGCTCGACAAAAGATTCGAGGCAATTTGCTTAGTTTAGGTATGGTTTTAGGAGAAGAAGAAATTTTAGGGGAGAAGAAAAAGAGAGCTAAAAATCTAGAAATGAAAAATACAAACAATTTAATTTCTTTATTTAAAAAATTTTTGAAAAAAAAAATAAGGTGTTGGACTTGGATCCTTTAAGCCCCAGATCCAGCAAAGCGCTCTTTTCTTTCTCAAATTATTATTTTTTTAGTTTTGTCCAAAATCACATGGTGCCACCACCAAAAACCACCCGCCCAAAATTTTCGTAAAATTTAGATAACTAATAATGACGGGACACACATGTTAGTCATTGAATACAAAAGAAATGGACCTATAACGACGGGATTTTCATTTGGTCGCAGAAGTTCAAAAAATGTTTAGATGTTAACGACGGGACATAAAACAGGTCGTTATTTGAATTTTGGTTGCTGAATGTGTATTTATTGTAGTGTTTTTTCACATAACATCTTATCTAAAAATATAAACTTATATTTCTTAATTAATTTTAATTTATTTTTTATGTATTTTTATTCATTTTAATTAATATTTTGTACATTTTTAAAATGATCAAATACAAATAAACTTATGATTACAGCATAACACAACACAATATTGCACTGACAAACAAGCCTTAGTTGAAGATGCCTTCGGTCGTTAAAAGCGTCGAGACTCTATGGGACAGATGGAATTTCAGAGGACTGATTGGTCTGAGCCTCTTGCTGCAGTCTTTCTTAATTCTGTCTGCACCATTAAGGAAACAAATAGGGGACAGATGGGTCATCATGACTTTTATCTGGTTGGCATACTTGCTTGCAGATTGGGTTGCTACATTTACTATTGGACTCTTGTTGCGCACAGAACGCAGTGACATCCTGACCCTTTGGGCACCCTTTCTTTTGTTGCATCTTGGTGGGCCTGACACCATTACTTCCTTCTCTCTAGGGGATAATAACTTCTGGATCAGGCACTTGCTTGGGCTTATCTTACAAGTTGGTTCAACTATCTATGTCATCTTTGAGCAGTCAGTCCCGCAGAACAAGCTCTTGCTCCCAACCCTCCTAGTATTAATGGCCGGAATAATTAAATATGCAGAGCGAAATTGTGCTTTTTATCTTGCATGCTTTGACCATTATGGAGATAAGGTAACAAATTATTCCGTTCTCGAAGAAAATGCAGTTAAGGCTGATGAGAACGACGGTTCCAATTTACTAAAAGAATTGACACCAGATGGCACTACCAAGAATCTACTTGTTGGGCCTCTTCTATCTCCAGAACGACGAGCTTTCAGCAAAAACGCCTTTCTTAAAATGTCTCCACAAGAGGTCCTTCGGATGATAGAGATTGAGCTAAGCCTCTTGTATGATGCTCTTCACACCAAGTTTCCAATTGTTTATTCTAAGATTGGACGTGTTTTCCGGATCATTAGTTTGGGTTGCATTTTTGGAGCCTTGTTGTCATTCTCATTAGTTAGGAAGCACTACAAGTTGGGCAAGTCTGAAATCTGGCTAACCTATGGTTTGTTGATTGGAGCCATAACATTGGATTTCATATCCATTGGATTACTTATTTTTTCTGATTTTAATTTTCTAAATCTGGAAATCAAAAATATGGTCCACGATCTGAAGAAAGAAAATAAGGGTAATAGAGTCATGAAGGGGCGCAGGTGGTCCAAGAGAATCTCCCAGTACAACTTTATAGCCTATTTTAGAGGAAGTCAAACTCTCTATTTTAGAGGAAGTCAAACTCTTCGTTTCATAAGGTTCCATTTGTACGCCACCTGTCCAAAAATTAGTGAAGACAAAGTGTGGCTCTTCATTTTTGAAGAACTGAAGAGGAAGGCTAAGCTTGCAAAGACCGCAGAAATGGGCAAGCAAATTTGTTTGAAAAGAGGTGATGGAATTCTTGAAAGCAATAAAAACTATCGGCACCTCATCTGGAGCATCAAGGGTTTAGATTACACGGCAAGCCTTCTAACATGGCATTTAGCCACTGAATTCTGCTATCTTGATAAGCTCTGCAAATGTCCTACATGTAATATTCAAGGGATATCCAAGTTACTCTCCGATTATATGTTTTACCTTCTAGAGATGCGGCCCGCTGTAATGGCCACTGTGTCCCTTGATCGGAAAGATGTATTGAGAAAAGCAATGGACGATCTAAGACGACATTTTTCCAACAACATTCAAGATTTGGGGTGGGAAGAAATGTCGAAAGCAATCTTTGCAGAAGGACCAGAGTTTGATCCGCTCCTTCCTCCTGGCTGCGAAGAACAATCTGTTTTCATTTATGCACGGAGGCTTGCCGTCCAGCTAAAGGAAAAGATGAACGACGGCTGTCCCTGTCCCTGTAAGTTAATGGGCCAAGTTTGGGTGGAAATAATGTGCTATGCAGCTATTAATTGCAGTCCAAATGTGCATGCGCAGCATCCAAGTCAAGGTGGAGAACTCATCACTTTCGTTTGGTTGTTGATGAATCATTTGGGTCTTGGAACACAATTTTCAACCGAAGACCGACTTTCATATATTGGTGGTATTGATGTTTGATTCCTATATCAGTGTTTTCTTATCCTTTCTTAAATATTGATTTCCTGAGCTTATTAATGTTTTAAAGCGTGTGTATCTCGATTTGGTAGTTCATTGTATTAAACTATTGCTGATTTGGTGATTATGCCTTATAGCTTCCTGCAAGACAAAATTATAGATTCCTCTTAATGTTTTTATCATTTTTTATATCTTTTTGTATCTTCCTAAGACCTAGACCCATTAGATTCACATGACCCAACAACATGAAGAAAACACAAAACCCAAAGGTTCGGAACCATAAACATAGCCTGATTCTCCTTTTCAAGTAAAATCAAAAGCGCAAATTCTCATCTCCTTTATACCTCAAAATGATTTGAGATAAGAGAAATTGAAGAGCTAGCAAAACAAGACAAAACCCAAAACAACACCACAAATTGCAATTAAATTTCAAAAGGAGCAGTGCAAAGTGCAAGAGTTCAAGTATTAAAGGGCAGTACAAAGTCCAAACATTGGAATAGAAGAAGCAAAGTCCAAGGACGAACCCACATAAAATGGTGAGTGCGGCTGTCGAGGGTGGGAGCACATGGAAGAATCAGTGGCTGTCTTGCTATTGAAAGGCGTTTTAAGAGGAGGAATGGGAGATCTGATCTGAGCAACGGAGATGATGAGGGAGCCAAAACAAAAAAAAAAAAATGGTGAATGGTGGTGGTCGAAGAGAAGCTTCTGGGGTGAAGAACGGCTCCAATTGCAGAGTAAAGGTGTCTGCACAGCCCAGTAGCGTTGGTGAGCACCACAAGGTCAAAATTCAGAAGAAAATAATAAAACTTTGAGTGCTTTTTCATTAGGGGAAGGATGAATTGTTGAGCTCAAATTAATAGAGGTAGAGGAACGACTTGACCTGATTTCTTATTACAAGGGCAAAATGACGCCTATTGGCTTTAACCCACTACTACAAATTAATAAAATCCCAGAAGAAGTTCCATTGAAAGTAATGCAGTATCAAATGTTTATAGGTTAAAATTTCATTTTTGGTCCCTTTACTTCAACAAAAAGTCTTTTTTTAGTTTTTTTTTTTTTTTGGTAAAATGTGAATTTATTTCCAAAATCTATACAAACCAGCTCTTTTTAAGGCTGCTACTAATGTCAGTACAAAGAATGAAATAACTTCTAAACTAAAGTATGTTCAAATCTTAGCTGTAAATAAAGTTTCTAATCCCCATTGAGCTGCAATTTTCCTTGACATAGGAGAAGACCTTTCCTTTACAGATGTAACTGCACCAAACCAGAAGTCCTTTTTCAGTCCGCGTCTGCACTTCGGATTGACCTGCAAAGCCCCGAGGTGGATCCTCGGGGTAGACACTCCGATGCTTAAGTCAGCAATAATCGGGGCTACCTTTGGAGCGGAGATAAAAGGAGCTTAGGGTTGGTTTCCAATTACCTTTCGGCGTGGCCCTTAAGGGGTATTTATATGCTCCAATGAAGAATCTACGTGGCATGCCAAGCAAGATACTCGGGATCTGATGTGTATTTCCAGGTGGTTATTTCGGGACCGGGAGATTAAGCCAAGCAAGATATTCGAGATCTGATGTGTATCTCCAGACGGTTATTTCGGGACCGGGGCTTCCCGCTCGAACAGCTGTACAGCAATTATGATGGACATCCTCGCATCTAAATATCTCTCAATTCCCCGATCCCGAAATAACCATCTGGAGATACACATCAGATCCCGAATATCTTGCTTGGCTCAATCTCCCGGTCCCGGAATAACCGCCTGGAGATACACATCAGATCCCGAGTATCTTGCTTGGCATGCCACGTAGATTCTTCATTGGAGCATATAAATACCCCTCAAGGGCCACGCCAAAAGGTAATTGGAAACCAACCCTAAGCTCCTTTTATCTCCGCTCCAAAGGTAGCCCCGATTATTGCTGACTTAAGCATCGGAGTGTCTACCTCGAGGATCCACCTCGGGGCTTTGCAGGTCAATCCTGAGTGCAGACACGGACTGAAGAAGGACTTCTGGTTTGGTGCAGTTACATTTTGGCGCCGTCTGTGGGAATCTGAACTAAAGGCTCCCTTGTTGCTCTTATCATGGTTAAGACTAGGTCAGCCCGAGGTGGAAACTCGTGTCAGCCTCTTGGACGAGGTCAGGTCCCCAGCAACCTTCCACCTCATCCCCCACCCCCAATCCCGAATACATTCCCTCATGTTGACCATACAAAAGGAGGGGATGAAAATCAGCCACACAATTCGGCTCGCAACTCAGCCTCTACTGCTAACCAAGACGTAGTTGCAACTCAGCTCACTGCCATGCAACAGCAGTTTGGTGTCTTTCAGCTAGTGCTGGCTCAGCTATTAGCCCGGAACAATCCTGGTGATCCACTCATCAACCTACTTAATCCTGCTCCACAACCCCCAGCTCCACCACAAAATCCTGAACCAGTTTAGCATACTCCTGCTATTAGTGAATCTCAGGGCCAATCTCACATCGCACCAGTTCAGCAACCCCTTCATGATGATGTCACTCGACGTCTAGATAGCTTAGAAAAGCTAGTGGTTGAACAGCGAGGTGGCCCACCTCCACACCCTGCTGCTGATTCCGTACCCCACCCTCTCAACACCAATATTACACTGGAACCTTATCCCGTTGGCTTTAGGATACCACAACTTGAAACTTATGATGAGACGAAGGACCCCGATGATCATCTACATGCTTTCTACTCTTGCATGCAAGCCCAGAACGCCTCTGATGCGTTGATGTGCAAAATCTTTCCCTCTACCCTTCGAGGTAATGCTCGAACCTGGTACTACAGTCTGCCTCCGAGGTCAATCAGCTCTTACATAGACATGGCATCTGCTTTTGCCACAAAGTTTTCCAGTAGAAGGTTGGTCAGGAAAACCACTTCCGAGCTGATGCGAGTTTTTTTTTTTTTGCACAGCAAAAGGTATTTGATTATATAGGGTACAAGGGGTACTCCTGCCCATAATACACAAACAAGGAAAATATTGAGCATCTACTGACTCTATCTTAATTCCAAGTAGAGTCAATTAGTTGCTCAATGCTCCTATGAAGCTATAGTGAGAATAAATCCATCAAAATCCTCAAAACAGTGAGAATTATCCTACCAAGCTTAGCACAAGATTCTATATCCTACTACCTGCCGCAGTTACTAATAAGGCAATCAAGAAGCCATTACATTACATCCGGCTTTACCTTTGATGGCTTTCCTCCTTCTACAACTATCCTTTATGCAAGCAACAGGATTAAGAAGCCAATCAGAAAGAGTGAAGGCATACCTGTCATTTCTTGCTCTAATCCATAAGAAAGACCTTAGTTGAATTGATTCAAACAGCTTCCCCGCATTTATCTCTTTGTGCTGAAATAATTTTTGGTTGCGAGCAAGCCACACTGTCCACACCACCGTACTCCATATGCAATCCCATCCTTGTCTTATTCGAGTTCCTTTACACCAATCTCCAAAATTTTCAAAAGTCTTCACGCAGTCGATGTCGAGTTTTGCCTCAGCGCCCCACCATTTGGCACATGCCTCCCACAGCCCTCGGGACAGCCTGCACCTCAGGAAGAGGTGAGCAGAGACCTCATCATGTTCCTCACATACAACGCACTTGCTCTCCTCTCTGTCTTTAATAATCCCCCTTTTCAGCAAGTTCACCTTGGTTGGTATTCTGTCCAACATTAATTGCCAATTAAATGCTGAAACTTTGGTTGGGAGGCTTCGGTTCCATACTCTTTTGAAAATTGTATGTCCACCTGCTCCGTTTTGATCCGAAGCTAATATGTGGTATGCTGATTGTGTTGAGTACAGACCCTCCTTATTGTGAATCCATTCCCATTTGTCGGCCCGACCTTGACTAACCTTCACGCCCTCTATCATCCTTTCGAGATCCACGACCTCTCCAGCTTCCCATTCGAATAGATTTCTTCTCCAATTTAACTTCCATTCCCATGATCCACTCCTTACGCTGCCCATTTGGTTGCATGAATTCTCCTTCCCTGTTGACAGAAGATATAGCCTAGGAAATTTGTTAGCAAGGCAACCCTCCCCTCCCCAATTATCCCACCAAAAGCTAGCTGATTTTCCATCCCCAATTTTCATTCTAAAACCCTCCGACAGCCATCCTACACTCTCCTCGTTCACTCTATTAAGGCAGCAAACATCCCTCCACCATAAGGACCCCCCTCCATTGTTTTCTCTAATCCAGTCCATCCAGTGCTTCCCATCCTTCCCATATTTTGCTGCAATTATTTTCATCCATAGTCCCTCATCTACTCTTGCTAACCGACCCCACCATTTCCCCATTAGTGCCAAATTAAACTTCCTCAAATCTCTCACTCCCAACCCTCCCTTAACTTTACTTTTACATACCTCCCCCCAATTTACCCAATTTATTTTCCTCTCCTCTGCCCCCCCACCCCATAAAAATCGTCTACGAATTTTATCAATTGAAAGGAGTGTACCTTTTGGGATTAAGTAGGCTGACATTAGGAACACGGGCAGAGAAGACAACACTGAGTTTATGAGCGTGATACGACCTCCCATAGAAAGGAAACGGCCCTTCCAGCTAGCAAGTTTCTTCTCAACTGATTGTACCAATGATTGCCACATTGATTTCCTTCTGTTATTCCCCCCTACTGGAATTCCCAGGTATTTAAATGGGAGTTCCCCTTCTTTGCAGTGCATTCTATAAGCCATTTCTGTTAGCCAACTCTCCGCTACTCCTACCCCCATTAAAAGGCTTTTTCCGAAGTTGATCTTTAGTCCTGAAGCCATTTCAAAGGTCCTCATAATAGCCTTCACCGCTCTTATGTTGTCTTCCGAAGCCTCCCCGAAAAATACTGTGTCGTCCGCGAATTGTAGATGTGATACCATGACACCTTCATTCCCAACCCTCACTCCTTTATATAATCCTTTGTCCACTGCCGAGGCCATTAAACCATTCAACCCTTCTGCCACTATCAAGAAGAGAAATGGCGAAAGCGGGTCGCCTTGACGTATGCCTTTGCTAACCGAGAATTGGCTTGTAGGACTACCATTAATTAAAACAGAAACCGAACTTGATCTTAGGCACTCCATTATCCATTTCCTCCATGTTTCATTAAAACCCAGTCGCATCATCATGTAATCCAGAAATTCCCAGCATACTTTGTCATAGGCTTTCTCAAAATCGACCTTAAAAATGAAGCAATTCTTCTTCTTTCTTTTAACCTCATCAATGACTTCATTTGCAATGATAACACCATCCACTAATTGTCTACCCCCAATAAATGCCATCTGCTGCTCCCCAATGATCTTGGGTAGCACCCTTCGCAGCCTGTTCGCTAACAGCTTTGCTATGATCTTGTACATGACCCCTATAAGAGAAATGGGTCTATACTCTTCGATTCTCTGGGGGTTTTCAGTCTTTGGGATTAGCACAATGAAGGAAGCATTGGCTCCCCGGACAATTCTACCATGATTATGAAACTCTTGGATGTAAGCGACTACCTCCACTTTTATATCTTCCCACATCTCTTTGATGAATCTGAAATTGAATCCATCTGGGCCTGGAGATTTGGAAGAATCGCAGTCCCATATTGCTTCCTTTACTTCCTCCTCTGAAAAATCTCTCGTAAGAAGCTCATTGTCCACTTGAGATACTTGCTTAAAACTAACCCCATCAAGCTTAGGTCCCTTCCATCTCTCCTCTGAAAACAGAGTTTCGAAATATCTGGCCACCTCTTCTTTAATTCTCAACACTCCCGTGAACTGTTCACCAGCCATCTGAACAGAATTTATTTCACTTCTTCTCCACCTTCCTTGGATGCAATTGTGAAAGAATCTTGTATTCGCATCTCCTTCCTTTAGCCACATCTTCCTTGATTTTTGTTGCGCCATCCTCTCCTTGATACTTAAATTTTTCCATAAATCAAGAAAGCTGTTCCTCCTCATTTCAATCTCATCTGTGGATAGCTGATTGATCTCTCCTTTCCCATCTATCTCGGCTATCAAGTTTTCAGCTTCTTTTATTTTTCTGTCCATCTCAGACACCGACTTAGCACTCCACTCCTTTAGGGCTTTCTTAGTTTTCTGTAATTTTTCTTTGAGTATAAAGCCACTCCCCCCCTTTACTACCGTGGATTTCCACACATTTCTAATTACTTCTTTGCACCCTAGTTGTTCCAGCCAACTATCAAAGAATTTAAAAGGTTTTGGACCCCAATCTACCTTCTCATTCTTCAATAGGATTGGACAATGATCTGACACTGTTCGTTTCAGCCCCCACTGCTTAATGTCGCTCCATTTGGAGATCCAGTCTTCTGAGACCAGGAATCTATCTATTCTACTCATCTGCTGTCCGTTAGAATTGTACCAAGTAAACTTTCTTCCCAGCAAAGGCAAATCAATCAATTCCGCCCTCAAAATAAACTCATCAAATTCCTTCATTTCCCTGGATACTTCTTTACACCCTGCCCTTTCTTCTGTTTTTCTAACTGAATTAAAGTCTCCTGACAAACACCAACAACCTTTTTTACTTCTAATCAAGTTGTACAACTCCTCCCATAAAGCTCTTTTTCCCGGAATTTGGCAAGGGGAGTAAATGTTTAAAATGTATACTGGAGTTTCCTCCTCCCCCCAAGCTCCATACACCCCAATGTAGTTATCCCCTTCTAACACATCTTTCTTTTTAAAAATATTAGAATTCCAAATGCACAGTAAACCACCAGACAGTCCGTTAGATGGTTTTGAGACCCAATCTAAGTTATCAGACCCCCAAACCCTTCTGCATAAGCTTCTATCAACACTCTCCATTTTTGTCTCCTGAATTGCTATAAAATCTATCTTTTCCTTCAACACAGTTTCTCTAATCTGCCTTTTCTTCCCGACCCCTCCCAGTCCTCTAATATTAAATGACAGAATTAACATTTAGGACTGAGCATACCTTCTTGCTACTGGCTTCCTTTTGATTTCCGGTAGTCACTTTCCTTTGACTGTCTCTACTCTCCATTTCTTCAATCCTCCGAATTATCTCCTCCTCGTCTTCCGTCGATGCCCCCATCTGTTTTGCAAGCTCCCATATCTCCTTCGCTAATCTGTTCTGCAGTCTTTTCTTCAGGGCTTTGTTACATTGATGAATGTCTGAGTCTCCAATAGAGCCTCCTGCTATCTTCCCGTTCAGGCTTGGCACAAAATCTGGCCGTGACCTCCTCCCACCCGACTGTCTGTTCGGCTTACCCCTTCCTCGGCTTCGGCATCTTCGACCATCACTGCCCAGTTCGGAGGATTTCAAGTAGATCGAGCTACACTTTCTTACCCGTTGCCCCTTCCTTTTGATGATTCTTCCACTCCGCATAATCGTCCCTCTCTGCATGTTTCCACTTTCACTCTCAGAACCTCTCCAGTCCAGATCTGCATCTACATCCTCGGTTTTATCCTCTGCAGAGACTTTTTTATTGTAAAACTCCATACTACCCTTTACATATGATTTATTTACCTCCAAGCTACCTTGGCCCAAGCCCATATTAGTAGACTCCACACACTCTAAGCTTTCTTCCTGTCTCATGGGCTTCTTGCGTTCTGGATCATTCCTTTTACAGCCCAAATCACCACCTTTCACATCTTCAGGCCTAACCGGTGATGCCAACTTCCTGAGCTTATTGGTGTCCGTCTCTGTCTCTACTTTTTTTCCCACTTCTTTCAAATTTTGAAATATATCCAGGCTGTCTTCCACAAAATCTGCTGACTTCTGACTTTCCTGTCCACTTTGGGATTGAGCCGATCTCACTTTTTCCCCACAGCTACTCAACATGTCAGCATCTTCTTCCTGGATACCTTCGGCTTCCCCCTGCAACTCTTCCCTTGCATTC